AACGCGTCTCATTCTTTCTCCATCGTCTTTGCCACCATTCGCATCGAGCCAGCCGGCGGGCAACAAAACCGGCGGGCGGGCGGGCGGTCGGTCCGTCGGTCGGTATGACGAATATAATGTGCTAACCGCCCACTTATCTCGACGCACAACAACGACTGCGGTAGCGATGGCGATAACGGCAAGGACGACAAAACTCTACCCTTAGCCCATCCCGACCTGCTTCGCGAGGATCACGGATTCCCAAAGGCGATTTCGGGAACTCTACCAGAATCTTCCCCTGAGAAGAGCGCGAGTCCTCGAAGGAGGTGATCTCGATACGGACGCGGAAGATCTGATGGAAAAACGACGTGAGCTACTCGCCTGGGAAAATACCAAGCTTCCAACACGTGTCACGGTGTTATTGCTTCTCCCCAGTTCTCCCGTCCCGTTTCTCGTCCGCTCCGAATATGATAGCGTGATCGTTTCGCCTGCTCGTTTGCTTCGGAGGCTCCAATGAAAGCTGACCGCTAAACATTCCGTGATACTTTTTTTTGAATAGATCACGAAGCGAGAAGGATCCATTGAAACTTACCGCTGGAAACTTGCGAGTATGATTGAAACAAGCCGAGCCGTTGAAGAGCTCTCCGGGGCTCGCTGCGTCACACCGTAAGCAGCGTCAAAGCGTCTGCCGCTGCTCGCCCCGATTTCCTTGATTTTCGCAAAGAAAAAATTCATCTCGAATCGGTTCTCCTTCCATGAGAACGACGTAGTATCACCAGTGCGCTCCTGAGATCTGATCCTCGGTCGCGAATTTCGTTGGGAGTTTTTCACCTCAGGTGAATGATAACTTTTGTCTAGGAATTTAGCAACACTCTCTCATGAATTTCTTGCGGTGTGGGAATCGGCGCATATGCTTTCGGATGGACAAGCTCTTCTTGGGAGGTGAACGTACGACGACGAAAACATTCGGTCGGAGTCCCGTCTATCAAAACGAATCTTCTCGCTCCGTGAATCGTTTGCGCCGCTCAGCACGTTGCGCGTTTCTTAAGCAATTATTGGAAAAGCAATACGGATCAGGCGTGTGATAGAGACCACCGGCATCGGTACAGTCGAGCAAATGATGCATTCGAGCAACAACAAGAGTTTTCCAATGGCAAAGTTCTATGTAGGCGGAATGAGAATCTCGTCTCTCGATAGAGTTGTCTATATCTCTGCTCGGCAAAGCGGAATCGTTAGTGATCAGTCATCTAGGTGGGAGGTGGTAGAGCAGATAAGCGAACAATCGCTCGAATAAGCGGGACATGGAGAACACGTCGGCAAATAGGTGGGAGAATCGCCTCCTATGTTAGCCGGCAGATGCTTCTCGCGAAACCATAACCACCCTCTGTAATGGGGGAAGTGTACTGAACGAGTTATGCTCATGTTCCTGCCGAGGATTCTTTCCGCTGCGATGTTCACGAAAGCTCAATGAGAAGCGAGATCGCCCAGATACGGTCATCCGAATCATCGTCGACGGATAGCCGAACCCCTATTCCTTTCCTCTCTTCTCCGTCATGGAATCTTCGCGTCAAACGCACATCCCCGTATGACGTGCGTGCCGGGAAGAAAGGAAGATTTCCCGAGCGAGGAACGAGACTCGTTCAGATTACCTCGCCGTCGTCTGCCTGTATTCATCCCTGGGCTCGGACCCTGATGAATATCACCTCGCGGATTCAGCTACGAGTTGAGGAGAAACCGGAGCGGGTGACATCATTACGAGTCGCTCGTGGCTTTGTCAGAGGATGATCCGATCTTCCTTCGGATACGCTACCTCGACTGCTCGTTCGGTGTCGTCCCAATCTTGTATTAGATGCCGGCGACGAGGAAGCATATGACTGCTGGGGATTCTCTCGGACATCCGTGACTGAGTCCTATCTGTTCCCCTGTCTGATCCGGGAGCTATCATCGAACTCTATTCGGACCTGACTGCTGCGAACTCTTTCCTTAGGCGATGCCAGCAGTGGCCGCGTCCGCAATATATCCATGTCTGAGACATGGACTGGGCGTGAGGCTGCTCGTGGGATAGCGAGGACGCGAGTGCCAACCAGCGAGGAATAGAGGGAGTAGACCAGTCTGTATGTATGTAATAGAGCCATTCGCAGCGGCGGATCAATATGAATCGAAGCGCTGCGTTGAGTAGCGAGCAATTGAGCATGTAGCTACTCAACTCGGTCGCCCGGTTTGTGAATTCACTCGTGTCACAGGGCAATGCTAATATACTCATTGAACGACGCTGGAGTCGTCGACTCCTCAGCTGGAGTGGTCGTGTGCGATAAAGTGCACGGCTAGAGGACTGCCTATTGATCTCTATCGTCCATATCCATCGGAGTCGTAGCCGCTACGCCTCCATGGAAGCGAAGCCTTAAATTGTTACTTTAACAATAAAGGCTTTATAATTGAGATGTGCTGTATTGAACGCATTCGACCCCAAGCACATGCGGTGACCAGCTCTGCGACTCCGCAGGAGCGACGGAGAAAGAGAGAGAGAGGAAGAACACGCATATTAGAGGGACGTCATGCTTTCAGTTCGAATAGCTTGACCTATAGCCTCCGGGCCTAGTCTGAAACTGTGTGCGGATCCTGAAGGGAACGGGCACTCGTTCGGTACCTCGCGAGATATTTCTGCCCCAAGTCGAACAGGAGAGCAGGCGATGCGCCATCGATGTGTGTCTGATAGTCTCGAGGTGGTGTACGGCCTCAAGCAGGCACCGGCAGAATGCTTGGCAGTGTTCAGATTCAATAAAAAGAGTTCCGGGCTCGGAACTACGGAAATTCGACGACGATAATTTCCCAGCTCGGGTAGAGGTGTTCGCAAGTGTTCGCGAGGGCAGACGGGCGGGGGGCAGGGGGCGGGCGTTCAGGCAGGCAGGCTAACTCGCAGCGGTGTGCTATGATAAGGTAGGGAATGGCGTGGCGTGGATATCTGTCCATATGCGTCCGTTCCCATAGTAATGATTTAAATCCATGAGCGGGACGGGCAGGCGTGCGGAATGTGTGAGTGACGACTGGCTGGCTGGCTATACCTATAAAATTATACATTGCGGCCTCTCTCTTAACGCCCCCTCGGAAGGCGCTTCGCGAGTTCAGGACTTTAAATCATCCGCGTCGGATTTCTCCGGTGGTGAAGACGAGGCTTTTAATTCTCGGAGTCGTACCCTATCTCCGAGAACGACGGTCCGGCGGAGAACATGCAGACCAAGTGCGAGCGGGAATCAAATCAGACGGGATCGTATATCGAGCCGAGAACTAAACGAGGAACTGAGAGAGTCCAGGAAACGGAAATGACCTCGTCCTGCGACTCCAGTTCGCAAGACAGCGAACGAGTGGAGCGCAGCCGCACCGCTAAATTGACGAATTTGACTGATTGACGGAATTGACCGTCTTGGAGCGCGCTCGGATAAAAGCAAAGCAGTCTGAGCCATTGGGATTAGACGGAGTTGATGGGAACATCGAGGAGCGGCGGGCGTGTTCCCCGTAGAAATATGAAGGCACCCATGTGTTCTCATTTCGGATCACATACAAGTCCTGATTGCGAATATTCGATTCTGGACGTCTTTTTCCGAATCCGGGACTCCGAGCCTTGAATGTATCGAATGATTGAGACGGCGCTGTCAGGCCGGATCACGAGCGCATATTATTCAACTCGTGTTTCCCTCTTGTATTCCAATTATCTCGACGCGTTCCGCGGGAATGAATGAAATATTTTTTTTGTCGATAAGATGAGGACAAGCGAACAGACGGATAAAAAAAGAACAAACAAGTAAAAATAAATAAGAAAGGAGAACCGCATTGAGCTAGCCAGTGTTGGAACGGTCCGATCTTGGATCACGACCGCGCGTCGCTGTGATGACGCTGGAAATGGTCGATTACGATCTGTGAAGGCGGTCCTCCATCGCCTGTGCTGCGTCCATGTTCTCTGCATTTGTCCATTCAAGTTTTTTTTCTCCCCCCTGGTAATAATAAGATCGTATGATAGTCTCTCCACGCACAAAGCCGCCTCGATATATCTTCGGAACATCTTTTCGCTTCGCAGTTCGCTCCCATTTTTTTTCCTGCCTGCATTGCGATGCTGTCGGCACACGAGCCCCCTTTCGCCTTCGAAGTTCTCTCTTCTATTTTCCTCCACCGTAAAAAAACGCGGGACTGTCAAGTGTTCGTAGCGGTCGTTTCTAACTTTCCGATTGTTCCCTTGCTCCGCCAGCTCAACTGGAGCAGATCAGAGATTCCGAAATGGCGATAAGTCGATGCTGCTTTCGAGTAATACTTCGAGGAGCTAGCAACAATGCAGATCCCATCACAGTCGTCGCGCATTCTGTTCTCGCTAGGCCGAGCTGATGCGCGTCGATAGCTACGCAAAAGTATCTGACCCGCATGGAATGCCGCTGCTTGAGTCGGGAACCGCTTATTCTCTCGACGATGGATCCCGGCTGGAATGAGCAAGGCAACCAATGGGGAAGCAATGGTGACTCTTCGAGAGATTTCCGAGTTCATGAATTTCGGATACTCAAAAATTCGATTTCAAAGAGGAAACCGACAGTCTAGCGGTCTATCGCCGCTCCGATCCGCGTTTGCTCAGGTAGATGACGATCGAAGAACGCCCAGTCGATTCCGGGAATCGGCAGATTCTATGTCGCTCGGGTTCGTAATTCGATCCGAGGATCGATTCGGGAGGTTTTCCTTTGGAAATCGTGATCACCATTGGCGAAATGGCGGATCAAGGCATCGGAACTCGGCAGCTGTACACAGTTTGGTCGCATGCGCGTCTCTAAGATCCTACCGGAAGCTTCATGTTTAATCTGCTCTCCGTAATTCGATTCGATCACTCAGATCCGACTCGTCGTCCTCATTCAAACAGAGAGACTTTTTGTGAGAATTTGATGATTATCCACGTCAGTCGACGGAGTTTCGGGGCAGAATGATAACGCTCGATTTAGAGATGTGGCTGGCAATATCTGACGCATTGCTATATTTCTCGCTTTCAGGCTCCTCCAACAACAGATCTCGCAGCATCAACTGGGCTCGTTGGGTGCATCAGGAGCTCCGAATGCCAAGTCTACGAATGGTGTGCTGAACAAGAGATCTCCCGCAGAATCGCTGGGTCTCCCGCCAGGATCTACTTCATTGGCTGATGACCAACTCTCATCGTGCGAAGGTTCGATGGAGGATACTTCACGTCCGACGTCTCCCTGCGAAGGTGCGTTGTCGTCGACCTCATCCGCGGGATCACCTCCTCCGTCAAGAAGTCCCAGTCCGGGTCCCTGACGGTCCGGGAGCCCTGCGCCGGCCGCGCAGGGTCTTCCCCGAGTCTCGGAAGCCGCAACCATGCCCTCGTTGGGGCTCGCGTTCGCCGCACCGACGCCACGTTTCCCTTCGCTTGCTTCGCCCTTCGCCGGGGTCACGGTCGCGGCCAGCGATTCGTCGTCGCTGGTCCCCTCGTTCGAGCAATACCTGCAATATTTATTCATGTCGCTCCCGCCTCCCCCCGGTGTCACGGTGCCGCCTTCGTTGGGCGGAGGTCTGCACCACCACCACCATCATCACCATCTTCCTTCGCATTTAAGCAGCAACAATAAGTTTTTGCCAACGTCGCTGTCCATAACACCTGTAGGACCCCAGTCGGATACGTCGGAGCGGAGTCTGGACTCGAAAAGTCCTCCGGACAGTACGACTGCGCCGCAAACGATGATTTCGCCGTCCGAAACGACCAAGGTTGAAGACGACAACGACATCGTGCAATAGAGAAATCCAATTCTATCTGAAAGAGCGATCCCGGCGGAGCGTAAGGTGGTGGTCTGCCGAGTGCGGCCGAAATCTTCGGAGACCTGTCGAGGCCATGGATCGAGTTGTCTCTAGAGGACCGACTCCGTCATATGATCCAACCGTCAGCTGAGCAAACGGTTCCCGAGTCTCGATCGAAGGATCGAGCACAGGCCTTGGATGGTAGGAATCGACTGAACTTGTCTCCGATCGAGCGGGTGCTCGAGCCCAAATATCCAACCGGTCGGAAATTCCTCGGTCGACCCAATGACGAGACCATCCCCCCGATACTAATGAGTTTCGTCGATCCCGTAAGCAGTGCTGTAAATTTTGTGAGCGACATCTTGGAGAGGAAACTCGCCTCTTGCGAAGGTTGTCCACCGATGGGAAGGAATAATTGAGGAACAGAATCGAGGGAAGCGGTCCGAGCGAGTATATGCATATCTATTGATCCGGAGAACCACGACAAAACTTTTCGAGTTCACTAAGGAGGAGAGAAACGATTTCGGGAGCGAAAAAAGTTGAAAGTAATAGGAGCTGGAAGAGATTGTGTTTACCCTCTAGTCGCATCTTCTAAGCAAGAAAAATGTGTTAATCACACACAATCACGTCTCCGTTGTCGCTAGCCGGACTCTTTTGAACTGTGTAGGTCGAGAGGAGTTTCTTGAACGTACGAAATGCTTTGCGTCGAAGTCTCCGGCTTGCCACGAGCCGATAAAGGATCCGAGCACGGACCATCACTTCGGCCTTTTCTGTGTACATATGCAATAAAAAGAGTTACAACAACACTTGCTTGAAATAGAGTGGAGAGCCTGATGGAATCCACGACGACGGGAATCGAAGGACTTACTGTCATAAGTATCACATTTGAAATTGGATCCGACGCCCCGTGAAAGCTCTTTCCTCGGAAGGAGTGGCGAACCTGTTGATGGCGACGAGAATCGCTCGGCAGCGCGAGTAGCCCTTCGAATTAGGGGAATTTCCCCGAGGGATCAATCGAAGCCTCCAGAGACCATCTTTCTCTCGATACCTCGCCACCATCGTCATCAGCAGGATCACGAGCTTCGGACACCGGAGCGACAAGTTCCACGAAGCCCTGTCACCCTTATCCCTTCTACGACACTTTGTCAACGAGGAATGGACCTAAGTAAACCACCTCAACAATTTCTTGATGGATTCCGAGTGCGTGCCCCTACCAAGGGGAAGCGATCTTCGATTCCATTGTAATTCTTAGATCCTGTAGAATACCATATACAATTGTGTATCAATATTGAGCTGAGTGAGCATGATGAAGATGACGAACCTTATATAGACGACGACAATGATGATTATTATGATGCGAATTTCGATGGGATATAGTCATGATGACGACGACGACTTTTGCCTCCTCCCATCACTTGCCCTGCTGTCCCAGTGATGACGTGCGCCACTTTCGACCTTTTTAGCGAAAAGTAACGAAGGAATGAAACGAAAGACGAGAGAGGGGAGAGTTGAGGCTTTGGAAGAAAGGAAATCAATAAATAGAAACACTAGAGTTGAACTCACCAACCAGCCTTCGATTTCATTCTGTGGCACAGTTCCAGGTTCCAGATGAGCTTCCGCTGAGCCCGGTCGCATACGGACCTCCGATGCGCCGGAGGCGGCGACAGCTCGAGAAATCTGCGGCCTCTCCATGCGAACTCCAATTCGAGTCGATCCAGGATCCGAATTCGGGTCGTTAGTTAATACTTTTCGAACAAGATATGTTTCAGAAAAGCGACGCGAACTCCATCTATCCATTGAGCTGCTCGTCGCATATCCGCGGTTCGGAGTGACGCGAGGGTGGCCGCGACATTTATTTGTCTGATATTTTATTTATTTGTCACCCCGGGGAGGAGATGTCATCTCTGCGGATTTTCGCTCCTTTCTGCTCTTTTAGCGAAGCTTGACCGTTTTCTCAATGAGGCTCTGAACGCCTCTCCCGAGACATGGCGTCGCTTGTTGTTCGACTCAGACTTCAGGGAAGGATCTCAGACCTACTTCGACCATGAGAAAATGATGCCGATATAGTCGGACTGTGAGCGCGTCCAACACTCGCTGAAGGGATTTCGAGAGACCAAGTCGAGACCCGAACCATCGGACTTCGGCTATTGGCCTGGCTCCTGCGGTGCGAACAGGAAGGAAGGAATATCTTCAGCTTTGAGCTCCTGTTACGATGATTTTCAGATCTTCCTCGCGTAAAATCACTTCCAGTGAGTCGAATGAACGCCCGGAGATGCCTTCCCATCCAGCCATACAGCGATCGATTTTTCCGCACAGCAGGCGTGCACCCGAGGTGCGGCTGGCAAAAGGGTATTTTATTCTTCCACTTCTGTTCCTTGTTCTTCTCCTCAATCGCCTCTTTGACCGCTGCTGTCATCATCGTCATCATCGATGATTGCGTTGACATCAGTCTCACCGTAGATGTCAGTGCAGCCGGTATTCAACGCTTGATTCTAATCTGTGGCGCACGTGAGACTTCGTTGATTCTTCTGCTGACGAAGCCACCGATCGAGTTCATCGGTCTTCGATATATTCATGGACGTTCGCCAGAACCAGATGACATGGAAACTGCGACACAGTCGAGGGAAACGCAAAGCCGAATGAGCAGTCACCAGCGGCGGTCACTTGTATGCATTTGGGTGCTGGTCATCAAATGGGCATCTTGAGCAAAACTCACGACATTTATGAATCCGCTGAGTGACGATTTTTCCCACGGCACCACCTCTTAGTACATCAACCCTTCAACCGAATTTCCTCCGCAAACGATCAATCTCACTCGGGGACTCGTTCGCTCGCTCGTTCGCTCAATCCCTTGCCGACGTCCAAGCTCCACTTACTCGCTTTCTTGATTTCATTCTCACACTTTGTTGCAGTTCAGCTCGTTGGATCGGACGGATTCAACGATTTCAATCGCAACTCTCTTTCAAGTGTTGCTACAGAGTCATCATTTTCCACAGACCGATTCATTGGTAACTAAGTAAGTGTTGAATTCTATTCGAGGAGGAGGAACGGATGGGCGGTTGGCTGAATGCTTGCTCCGCTGAATGATCGATCATCACAGGTGGACGATGCAGACGGCGGTCTCCAATCCGAAACGGGAATCTTTTCAGTATGGTCGCCGTGCCGAGTCGTAGCAAGCTCAAGTTGCTTCTCGGAGGGATCGGTGCCGTACTTCCCCGATTGCGATTGGAATCGGTGGAAGACGTTCCCGCTTTCGACGGGCTTCGGTCTGGGCAAGCTCCGATATCCAGATTCTTGGGACCGCGTTCCCCGACATTCGGTTTCAGGTGGACTCGACACGACCGTGGACTCCGTGTTCCTTAGGGACGCCCCGAAACCCGCAAGTGAAGGGACGCAGGCTTGACATATTCCTCCCGCAGCCCAATTCTCCACTTCCGCATTCTATCTCTTGCCTGTCTGCAATTTTTAGGGGATGGTTTCCCTTTCGAGATACTATGCTTTAGGCGGAATTCAAAGCATAACGGGGCGCCAGTCGATTTGCTGGAGGGAAGCGCGGCGCAAGCAACGACGAGGGAAATGGTGGGGGAGCGGAGGTGGAGCTTCAGCGGAAAATAATCAATTCCCCCATCCACAAGAAGAATTGAGTTCGCTGGCTCGAGGTGGGGTGAGATGAACTCCGATGGGACGCGAAGAAAGGAAAGAATGGGGAGAGGCTCACCCGGTCCTATCGAGCAAACGTTTACCCGTCGACTTTTATGTGTTTAGTTACATCAGCACGGAGTCGGGCAGATAAATAAGAGCATAAGAGCGACAGTTGGGGATCCGATCACAATGAAACAAGACAACAAATGTTTCTTTCATGGTCGCTGTTTCACTCATCTCGAACTCGGTCTCCGAACCTGCGACGGGCAATTTCTTCGGGTCACGGGAAATTGAAAAACGTGTTTCACTATTCGCGCACTAGAGACGAGTCTTCACGTATCCGGTCGTACACGGTCAGCGCTTTGAACTCCGTATTTGAAGTTTTGGAGATAAATAGTATTAAGATGTCTTTCGTTCGGCGAAGATCAGCCAGATGTCTGCAGAGCAATTTGTCGCCGCTCGGCTCGCATTTTGTTTGCTGAGACGCAATTCTAAGAGAAGACACGGCTTCGATTTCTTTGTTCGCTTTCTGTTGACGTGTGAACATTTTGATGAGTCTCCGGCTTCTACTGATTCGTCGTCGCCGTCGCGGTGTTCGTCGTTGTTGTAACTGTTCACGCAGTCACTGACATCTTTTTTCTTTGCTGGTCGGATGTCGGAGCGCAGATACGGCGCCCGGTCCGGCGCCGACGGCTCAAGCGATTGTACACAGATAGATAGCCGACAATTTCTTTTTCGTTCCGAGAGTCTCAGGCGCGACTGCGTCATTCATTGTCCGTCGGCAAATCGATTAGTTCTTCGTAGTCAGGTGGCCCGATTCTATTCCGACTTGAGCGTGAGCTCCAGGTTCCACTCCACGTCTCCGACTGCCCATTCCCCGT